AGGAGGGCCCCGGGGCCCAGCCCAGCCCAGCCGCCAGCAGCACCCTGAAGCGGTGGCGGTGCCACGTCCAGAGGTTCTTCTACCGCCTGTACGCCAGCATGCGCATCGAGGAGCTGTTTAGCATCATCCGAGGTAAGCTCCACGCACGTTACGCTTGCCAGGTGCCTCGGTCCCTCCGTTTTCCTCTCCTCTCCAGCCGCGGAGCAGCCTGCCCACAACCACAGAGCAAATGCAGCACCGCACCGGGGTCCTCCAGATCGGCCTGTCCTCCCCCCCCCCCAAGTCCAGAGAGGGGAGGTCAGGTGCTTTTGAATCGGGCCCTTTCCTCGGAGATGTCGGTTTCAGAAGCTTCTCAGTGCCTGCGTTAAAGCTGCGATATCACTGAGGAGTTTTTGTAGGGATTAACCGTGCTCTGCCAATTGAGAAGCGCACATTTCATGTACCATCCCGTCTGCTTCGTCCTTCTCTGTGGGAGCTTAGTAATAACGTTGGAATAGTTGGGTGACTGTTGCTTGCTGCGAGGAGGAGGGTGCAAAGGCAGGACCCTAAGCCCTCGAAGCGCAGCCGCTGGCAGTTCAATCTCTCCTCGCGGAGGACGCAGCGCAACAGCGGGAGTGTTTCTTCACGCTCCCTTCGGCTACCCTGGTTCTTGATGCAGATTTCCCAGAGTCAAAGCCAGCAGTGGAAGACCTGAAATATTGCCTGGAAAGGACCAACCAGCGGCAGCAGCTCTTGAACTCCCTAAAAAGCGCCCTGGAAATGCGGCTTCTCCATCCAGGTGGGCATTTCCACCCTTCTTTTCCCTGTGGGCCAAGAGTCATTGGCTCCTAATTACGGAGCTTCCTGGAGACCAGAAACTAGGCGCTTCCTCTCAGCCTTCCCGAGCGGGTTTCAGGCAGGCAGACCTGCTGCCTCCACGTCTAGCTCCCCCCTCTCGTCGTTTCAGGGGTGAACACCTCGGACATCATCACCCTCTACATCTCTGCCATCAAAGCTCTGCGGGAGCTGGACTCGTCCATGGTGATTCTGGAAGTGGCCTGTGAGCCCATCCGGAAGTATTTGCGGTGAGAGGGGCTGGTTGGCACCCCTGCAGCTGCTGCGGCCTGCTCGCTTCTGGCTTGCTTTCGGTGGCGTCGCGTTGTCAGGGCTTCCAGCTCCAGCTTGTGCTACGGACTGCAAGCCACTCCTCCTCCCAACAGGACCAGGGAGGACACCGTGCGGCAGATTGTGGCAGGTCTGACGGGTGATGCTGAAGGATCCGCTGACCTGGCAAATGAGCTCTCCAAAGCTGATCCCGTAACGCTGGAGAATGGCCCAGAGAGCGACGACGACGTCTCTGAACCCGAGGACTGGGTGCCTGATCCGGTCGATGCTGACCCGGGTGAGTTGGGGCTGCAGTGGGGAGAGGCTCTTGAGCTGCGGCCAAGCGCCCTCTGAACACTGGGGGCCCATGGTGGGATCCTGGGTCCTGGTCTGAGGCACCTCTGGGGTCTCCCCGTGGCCCTTCCTCTCCCACCAGGGAAGTCCAGCTCCAAGCGCCGCTCCTCAGACATCATTAGCCTGCTGGTGAGCATCTACGGCAGCAAAGACCTCTTCATCAACGAGTACCGCACTCTGCTGGCTGACCGGTTGCTGCACCAGTTCAACTACAGCGCCGAGAGGTGAGGGGCCAAGCTGTCCAGCGGCTGGGCAGGAGTCCCCTGAGGCACGCTTGGAACTCCAGCATAGCTAGCAGAGGTGATCCTGTGAGCCGGAAGGCCGCCCGTCCCTCTGCGTTGCCCCCTCAGACTGGCCGCAGATGGGGAGACAGCATTCCCATCGAGGGCAGTCGCTGAAGAAGCCACTCAGAAGCCCTCCAGGCCAGCCGCTGGTAGATCATCTCCTCTGCAGAAATGCCAGCCATGACCCGAGGAGCAGAGGTCTCTTGGGCTTGGCAAAAGCCTTTGCTTCTTCTCACTTTAGGGAAATCAGGAACGTGGAACTGCTGAAGTTGCGCTTCGGAGAAGCCCAGATGCACTACTGCGAGGTCATGTTAAAAGTAGGTGGTCCCTTGTTAAAGGGTCTGCGGAGGCCACCCTGGTTCCTCTGAAGACTGATTTCGCTCAGCTGGAGGGGCCCAGAAAAAGGCCCCATTGTGGCCTGTCTGTGTCTCAGGCTCAGCAAGGATCTCACCGCTCCTCCCCTCTCTTCTCACGCAGGACATGGCAGACTCTCGGCGCATCAATGCAAACATTCGCGATGAGGAGCAGAAGCTGCCCGAGGAGGAAAGGCCCCCCTTCAGCCTCGTGGCCATCATCCTCTCCAGTGAGTTTTGGCCCCCATTGAAGGAGGAGAAGCTGGAGCTCCCGGGGCAGATCAAGGAGGCCATGGAGGCCTATGCCAAGAAGTACGAAAAGCTAAAGGTAGGAGAATCCTCCATCTCCAGGAAGTTCAGCCTCTGCCTCAGTTGGCAGCCAACCACGAAGGAAGCCTTCTGGTCCTGTCCTCCCTCAGGTTCTGCCTGGCTGCTCTTCTAGGGTTCGGCTGTTCCCATCTTCCTCTCTGTTTGCCCAGGACATCTCGTGATGTGCCTGTGTGTGGAACAGGCATACGGTGGCTGGGCCACTAGCCGGGAGCTTCTGGTCTTTTAGCTGAAGAACCATAATGCTCCCTTGTGGCTTCTTCACAGGCCATGCGGACCTTGAACTGGAAGCACCACCTGGGCTTGGTGAACCTGGAGGTGGAGCTGGCTGACCGCACGCTCTCCCTCTCGGTGTCGCCGGTGCACGCGGCTGTCATCCTGCACTTCCAGAGCAAGGGTAGGTCTTCTGGGTCCCATGAAGGCCTCTAGCTGTCTGCCCCTTCCTCCGAGAAGGAGAAAGGGGGCTCCCAGTCTTACAGGGAAGGGTGAAATCGCTCCTAGCAGCAGGTTTGGGGCAATCTGCAAAAAGGCCCTTAGAACGGTAGACGCCAGAAATAATAAGCTAGAATAGCAATAGAGGCTGGGAACCACTCAGAGTGAAAAAAGACGCCTTGCAGCGGACAGGCAGCTGCTGCTGCTTCTGGGTTGCCCCTTCCCCATCCCTCAGGCCAAGGTTTCCTGGGGAAGGGTTCCTACCAGGAGACCGTTCTTGCCTGCGCCGGGCAGGAGCAGGTCTGGGTTTCAGACCCTGCACCAGCCCCTCTGAGAGCCAATCTTGGGCGGAGGGGGGGGCTTGAGCCGAGGCCCTAATTGGCGCGTGCCACCTTTCCAGGCACTCGAACGTTGGAGGAGCTGAGCGAAGCGCTGAAGGTGCCAGCAGCCTCCCTGCGGCGCAAGATGACCCTCTGGCTGCAGCAAGGGGTGCTGCGGGAGGAGCCCCCTGGGACATTCACGGTGATCGAAGAGGAGCTGAAGGACCATGCAGAGAAGGTGGTGCTGATTGATAGCGACGAGGAGGGTGATTCGGCGATGGCCTCCCAGGCAGACCAGAAGGAGGAGGAGTTGCAGGTGCTAGTCCGGGGTGGGAGGCTTCCCCTAGTTGACCGGAGCCAGTCATCCTGTCTTAAGAAGCAAAGGCCAGAAGACAGCCCGGGTCTCAGTGCTGACCTTTGATCGATGGATCTGCCCTCGTCCTGGTGGGGGGCGCAGGATGAGTTGGCCTTCCAACTTGGAGCTGGGTGGGTTCCAGGAGCACCTGAGCATCAGCCCTGCCTCGGTCAGCAGCAACTGCTGCGGCTGCTGCCGTGTTCTGATCCCTGCCCTGGCGTTGTTTCCGCATTCTCCTGCACCCCTTTGCAGCTCTTCTGGACGTATATCCAGGCCATGCTGACTAACCTGGAGAGCCTCTCCCTAGAACGCATCCACAGCATGCTTAAGATCTTTGTGATGACGGGCCCCATGGTGACGGAGATCGACATCCAGGAACTGCAGGGTTTCCTCCAGAAGAAGGTCCGGGACCAGCAGCTCAGCTACTCCGGGGGCGTCTACCGCTTGCCCAAGAGCTGCAACTGAGGCAGGTTCCCCTGGGCTGCCCAACCCCTCAGGGCAGCGCGGGATGGGATGATGTGTGGGGGGTTCTCTCTGACTCTGGTCTGCTGAGCTGTCTTTGCCTGGGTGCGCATTGCTGCGAAGAGAGGGTGCGGTCACAGGGACCGCTGGACAAAGCGTTCATTTTTATTGATTTCCTGGTTCATAATAAAGTGGCTTCTATCTTAGCCTTTGGGGCCGTGATGTGTTTTTTCTCTGCTCTGTCGCCCGGCAGGTGAGTTGGACTGGCTTGCTCCCCCTCGCTGGCCCTGTTCCTGGCCCTGTGGCTGCATTTCCTTCTAGCCCCTCTGCAGGATGTCAGGAGAGACATGGCTGGGAGGGCTCCCCAGGGGAAGGGGGCCAGAAATACCCTGGCCTTTTGGCTGGATGATTCTGCCTGCCTTCTCAAGCGCTTTCTTGTGTAAGCATGGTGTGTTTCTCGTAGCACACGTGTCTGTGAGCTCACCCTTTTAAGTGATGTGATACCGGAGAGGCGGGGAAGGGAGAGGAGCTCTTGGGAGCTCCCTTTGCCAAGGGTCACAATGCTCTCCATCTCCACCTCGTCCCTTCCAGGGAATCCCTGGCGCTCAGCAGGGCTCTGGGAAGGAAAAGGTAGCCCACTTTGGTCCAGTGAGAGAGCACATTTCCCCAGGACCAAAACTTCTGTTGTTCATAGACGTGAGTCTCGGCAAAGCTTTTTTTAAGTCCCCAAATGCCCTGTGAGGTTACAAAGTGCTGATCACAGCTGAGTTGGGCTGGCAGAAAGGCCTGAAGAAATCGGAAGCTGGGGAGGCGGTGGAGGTCACCCCCTAAAGTCTTCGTTGGGAACCATTGAAGGTACGGGATACACTTGGCGAAGGAGAAAAAGAAGACATGGAAAAGGATTTGAAAGGACTGAAGGAAGGCGGCTGCCAATGGAGGACTTGTGGTGAGTGACCTGAGGCAGGGAGCGCTTTGAGGAATCATCGGGAGGATGGTGGGAATACCCATCTTGTACGTAGATGTTTTTTTGTTTCTCTAATCTGCCCCGAATGTTGTTAGAGAATTCCTGCCGTACCAGTTTGAATGGGAAGGAAAAATATTTGCTCCCCACCATGCGAATCAAATACATTTTTTAAAAAAAAGTAAGGCCGCCCCCCCAATGCTCCCCCCCTTTTTTTTTTTGCAGAAGGGATACTACAGTATAACCCCTGCTTCTTTTGGTTGCTGTTAGCAGTTCTAAAAAGAGACAGTTTGGAGAAGTCAGCACCCCGGTCTTCTCGCTGTACAGTGAGCAGAAGATGTTCCCCCCCAAAGAAAAAAATGGGGAAGTGTTTGGCATTCTACATATTTGTGTAGAACGTCTGCCTAAGATTTGCCCTGGCTTGTTGCAGCTCTGCTTCTAAAAGCCACCCGACTGAGAACCAGCAATCCAGAAGATACGCCGGAAGGATTTGCAGCTGCTCCTTCCGACAGCCTGGCAGTTGCTGCTGCTGGGCCCGGGGGAAAGGGCCTGTCCATCCTGGCCATTGGCTGGCAAATGTTCTGGGACCTTGTGATGTCACAGACACTCCCTGGCAGGTTCCTGCCTGGCTGGAGGCCTGGCATGTTTTCAGGGCTCCTTGGAGGTGGTGAGAGATTGGGCTTAGGGCTCCAGGATGCTACTGGCCTGCCTGTTCACCATAAGTGTCCTCTCCTTGCCTTCACGTGAGTCCAGAAGGTTGCCTTGTGGCCAGAAACGGTTCTCTTTGCCTTTTCCCTCTAGCAAGGGCTATTTTAAATCAGATCTCGGTCTGTCAGACTCAGCACAGGCCTCTCTTCTGGAGTGTCAGGCGGGCCTCTTTGCTACCTGGAGGTGCTGAGAACTCAGCCTGGGTTTTTGTGCTTGCAAGGCTCAAGTAATGGTCCTGACTGTCTAGCACAGATTTGGGGCTGGGGAGCCTGTTCAGGCCTGTGGCCAGACAAGCTGCAGAACATTTGGGCTCTACATCTGGTGTACGTCTGTAGCCCTCGTAGATGTTCAGATGCGAGGAGGTCATTTCTGTAAGCAGCCTACAGCCAGGCTGGTTTCAAGTGGTTAGACAAATTGTACGAGTCAGTAAAATGAACAATACGTTTCCATTGCTGTCTGTGTGGGAAATTCTTCCCGCCCTCTGCTCAGCCTTAGAGGCCCTACTGTTCTGCCCCTGTGTGGATAGAATCACTCAGAAAAGATACGTGGAATGGAGGGAGCAGAAAAGTTGGAAGAAACTGGGTTTTGGCTTCTCTGCTGGCAATTTTAAGACAGTTGCTGGGCACTTAGGGCTGACCCAGCTTCAGCCTCATCTACAAGGGAGGGAAGCCAAGAACAACTGAAGGCACAGATGACGTTATTTCTCAGGGGCAGGCCCAGGTGCCTGTTCCTTTGGCCGCTGGGGGAGCTCTGCTTAATATCCCAGGCTGCGAGGGGATTTTGCCCTGTAGCTGGTTCCCATGCCTGGTGAAATCTGGGACAAAAGGTCAGCCAAACAATAATGCTGGGTGACACACGCACGCAAGATACTGACTCGGGGCAAAATCCTGACTCAGGATCGCCGTGGGAAGAATACGGGAAATACCTCCCACGTTCTTTTTTGCATTCAGAATTCTTCCTTTGATTTGCAGTGAGAATGAGCAGGGTAGAGGCCTCAAGAGCTCATCTAGCCAATTTTGAATTCCACCCAAAACAAAGAAAGAAAATAGTTGCCTCTCCTAAAGTTGCCTGGAAGGAGGAGGATGACGAAGAAGAAGGATCTGATGAGCGGATCGTTCGGAGAGCTGTGAGGAAGGTGAGGATCTTTGGAACGGGCACTTTTGAGCACTCGTTGCAAAATGCCCACCGTTGCAAGGCCGGTTGTGGGGGCTGCAGGGAATCTCAGTGCTCCCAAATAGGCAAGTAACGGTGCCTCAGTTTTCCCCCGCACTGTGGGGGCGATAGCACTGGCAGGAGGGTTGGCAGGATGACTGAGATGATGGAGTCGAATCATTCTGAGGATGGGTGTGTCTTTCCCCTGGTAACAAACATGGGTGGGTCAGGAACATCAAGCAATGGCAAAATAAATTCTACATCCTTGGGGGGCTGTGAACATACAAGTGTGCCAAGTGAAAGAAAAGTACTGCCTCCGAGTAGCTCTCGGAGGCAGAAAGACATAGAGCTAAAGAAAGCTTAGCGTAGTTTGTGTAAGAGGGTGAGCGCATCTAAGATGGGAAATCCTGTCTAAGCAGATGACACGGTATGAACGTATAACAGAGTATTATCATCAACAGTATCCAGAAGACGCTGAAGAACACAGGGAAGTTGGCCATCGGCAAATCTCCATCCCTGGTAAGCGCCTCTCCCTCCCTGTCCGTGATTTGGGGAGGGAGGACCTTTGCATCCTTTTCCTCCTCTGGGTCTGGAGAACCTGGTGTGGATTCGTTCTGACGCTTGGAGTAGCAGGAACGAGAACTGGGCTTTGCTCCACTGAGAAGCAAGACGAGAACTTGCTGGGGAGGGTGGGAGGGGCGTTTCTGTCTCTTGCCACCTAGTTCCCCAAACTGCAACTGCTGGCGGTTGAAAGAGGGGGAGCCTGGATCAGTCCATGGAAGAGTTTGTGTTTCAGGAAAGATGGGGGTGGGGGTGCCCCTCCCGCCTCTGATTGTGCTTCTCCTTCCCGTCCTAGTGGGGAGAGCTGAGGCCAACTGCCCTGAAGTACTGGCGAGAGGGACCCTGGCAGCGATTGTGGCTGCCTTAGCTTTCTTGGGCTTCTTTTCCACTTCTGTTCTTCTGGTGGTGGCGGTCTGCGTCTTGCGGCTGGTGGATAAGCAAAGGTGGGTGTTGCAGGCCGGGAGGAAAGGCCTGGCCTCCTGCGGCTGTAGGGTCTCCATCCTGCTGCTGCTGCTGAGTTGCAGAGTCCTCCTGGGGGCTAGGACCACCGAGTCGTCTTCCCGTGGCTCAGCTCAGGTGCATTTCTGCGATTGCTGCAAGCAGCAGGGAGTCCACCTCCCTGCTCTTTGCCCTCTTCCAGACGGCATGTGTGTGTCTGGGGATAAACTGGTTCACAAGTGGAGACCATTGAGCGAACTGTGCGGGCCAGAGGACTCTTTCCAGGTGATCCTGCAGCCTGGGTGACTTTTCCAGGGTTCCTGTGCCTCCATCCCAGATTGTCCCTCACCAGCATTTTTGTGTCTTTTCTCTTTTTGTCTCAAGGAAAACAGGGAAGGAAGGGAAAACAGGCTATTCTCCTCCTAGAAGATCTCTCCCTCCTATCCCGTAAGCGATGCAGGCCAAGCCAGAGGTGGTTGCAGGTCCCTGAAGAGGGCCATGGTCTGGTCTCCCCTGTTCCAAGAGCACAGCTCCTCACACTGATTTTGGAACGGCAGTGGGGTAGCTGTGAATTGCTCTGGGTGGGGCAATTGAAGCGCCAGATTTTAGAAGTGAAGTCTCAGCTGAATGCTTCTAAATCCATAAAGAATATTTACCAGCCACCCAAGTGTTTTGTCTGTTCAGATGGCTGGTCCTCATCTAAAGTTTGGTCTGAGGCTTCAGATGCTGTAGGACCTCTTTCTCCCATAGGCCTCAGGGAGGGAGGGAAGGTGTGTGCAAAAGTTGGGTGCAGGCCCCTTTCATTCTTGTCTGTGCTTCTGCTTGCAGACCTCCTCGTCCAGAGCGTACGTACATGACCGTGAAACCACACGGCTACGAACGCCGCCAGCCAGCCACCCCGTGAGTAGCAGTTCTTGGCATTTGCTTCAGAGGAACTTGGTTTTAAGCGGGGCTGTTTCTTTTACAGTCCAGACAAAATGAGTGGCTGTTTAGCTATCCCAGAGAGTTACAGCTGAGTGGAGATCCTGCCTTGGTGCACTTGTAATAACCCCAGATTGTGTCTGATCTGTGTTTGATTTGATGCAATCACAGCTCTTGATTAATCCAGATTCCTCCCTTTCTGCCTTTGGCTGGCAGATGCATACAGCCCTCTGTGTTGGATTGTGGTGCCTAGTTCAAAGGTGGAGGAAGGAACGAGTGTTGAGAAGCTGGTCCCTGCTCTGCCCATCGGGCAAGTTCCACTCAAAGCACTGAAGCGCATTCTCTGTTCCCTCAGGTGTGCCACCGAGGGTGCCTACCTGAGTGCCGATGAGCTGAATCCTGGTCCCAGGTGGGTCAGAGAGAGAAGATGGGAAGGTGAGATGGGGCGGGTCCCCAAGGAAGACAGCATCTCTTCTGCGACCCTTTCAAGGCTTTCTTGGTAGCTTTTAGATCTCATTTAGGCTGCTCAGGGGAGTGGTAGAAATGCTGTTTAATAGTAGGCAAATCTACAGAGAAGGGCTTGCTGAATAGCAAAATACTGTCCCTGATATTCAGGGACCTTGTGGGGCACGAGGGAGGACCTCAGCCCCCTCCAGAAGCTGGTGGAGTTTTTCTCCGGCTGAGGAGGCTCTTTCAGCATGCTCGGGGCTGCTGCTGAGAGGCAGAGCGCCCCTTGAACTGCTTAGCTCTTCTGCACCGTGAAAAGTCAGACGCTGCAGCCGCTTTTTTATCCTCAGCTGGAGCAGAGGAAATAAGTGGAAGCTTCTTAGCTCAGGCCACAGGTCTCTTCAGTCAGCAGCCAAGCGGCAGTTCCGCTCCAGCATCAAATTCCTCCGCTTCCTAATCGAGATGCGGTTGCAGAGTTAGAGTTAGCAAGCGATCACCAGGGCGCCTTCTCTGCTGAACTGGGCGCCACCAGGCGGGTCTTAGGAGTCATGTGGAAGGCCAGCTCCACAGCCCAGCCACCGTTCATTGCGTTGTTGCTTTAATTTCAGAACTGTTCTGAATCGCCACCACCAGAACATGAACGTGTCACCGCGACCCAAGTCAGTAGGACAAAGACAGCATGGGGGCTGGGAAAACAGGGCGGGCGGGTAGACTCGTCCCCCACCCGACAGTTTCTTGCCCCCACTTGCCGTGTGCAGAGTTTATTTGCTCTTTAAAAGCTGGGAGCAGACAACTCGCTCTGGGCTTAGGACTTGTCCTGAAACCCTTTGGGCAGTTGCCTCTCTGGGTGGCCCAATGCTGGAGCAGAGGTGCTGCCTCAGCGCCAGGCCTTGCAGTCCTCTGCCCCTCCCTCCTTGGGCACTGCAGTCGTTTCCTTGTGCTTCCAGGTCCGCCCCGGAGGGCGAGTATGTTAGTCCTGAAAAGCTGCAGCCCTGTTCCATGTAAGTAGAAGGGATCCCAGGATGAGGTTTTAGGGGGGTCTCAGGAAATGAGTCAGCAGCGAAGGCGCTGCTCATCCCGTTTAGGACTTGTTTTAAAAAGGGATCACATAAGGTGACATCATGGAGAAGAACCTGGAAATTCTCACTGAAAGTTTTTCAGTGTTTCCTTGTCTGCAAATGTCCCTAAACCTTAAGAATGGCTTGTGTGCGTGTGCGCATGTACCTACGAATTGCTAGGTAAACATCCTGTTTGCTCTGCTCATTAGGATCCTGTTTAGATCCGGACTACCTAATGGCATGGGAAAGTGGATGGGGCGTGTTTTTATTTGAAGCTTTCTGCTTCCCAGCTGCACTGGCAGCTTTAGCCACGAGAGCTTAGGGCTTCCATGTCCAGTAGCCACACATTACGGAGTTTGTTGGTGGCCCAGGGGAGGAGGAACCGAAGTGGGACAATTGGGTCTTGGCCCCCGGGTGCCCGGTTGACTGCTCTCATCCAGCAAAATCCATTTGTATTTCAGTCTTCCCTTGGCAAAGAAGTGTGTGACTGTGGAAGAGTCTGACCCCGCAGCCATGTAAGTGTGGAGAACAGGTCTTGTGGGACGAAGGAAGCATTCTCTCTTTTGGCATCTTCCTCCTGCAGAGGACTATAATGGACCAGTAAATAGAAGAGATGCCTGGGAATTCTAGCATGGCCATGTCAACTCGGGCCTAGCGGGGAGGGGGCTTTGTGCATGAATACTGTCTCTGTGAACCTTTAGCCAGTGATGAAAGAGCAGCCTGAGGCTTGGCAACTCCTGGAGCTGTCTGATCAGAAAAAAGAGGTGGCCCCTTGATCACCCCCCGCCTCTTTGCAGCTGCCCACCCTGCTAGCTGAGCTGCCTCCCTCGCCGCCCCAGGGAAGGAGACCGGAAGCTCTAAGCCAGCTCCTAGCAGGGGTTCTGCCTGCCCAGCACCCTCCCTCACAGGATGTTCTTTACCTTTTTCCCTTCCCAGAATGGGAGGCTCTCCAGAGATTGGGATGACCCCTCGAGGGTGAGTTAGCATTTCCTGGGACTGTGGGAGATGGTGGGGGGGTCAGCTGGCCACGTAAGGCTGCGTTCAGGTGGCCAGGGTTGGATTAGCTTCCTAGTACGGAAGATTAAGATGCTGAGCCTCAGGATTAATACTCAGAGCTTTGTAATCTTTTGAAGTAAATGGGCAATAAAAGTATCAGTGGAGAGATTCAGCACGCTGTCTCATGGGAAAGTTCAGTGTATTTGTTCATAGCAGAGACTTCGTTCTCTTTGGCAAGTTGAAGAACCTTGAAAAGATAAGGGTTGCTGGACCCCAGCTGTTAAGAGAACGCAGGCCTGAATCTTGATGATTCAGTGTTGTAGGAGCAAAAAACCCCTGAAGTCTTGTTTATTTTATCTTGAGCCAGATTTGCAACTTCTGTGTTTAAAATGTTTTTCCAAAATGGTTGGGAAAAAAAGGCAGTTCACTTTGACATAAAGTGGTAAAGAAGGAACCTCAGGTTTCAGGGTGGGGGAGGAAGAGGGGGAGGGTTAGCGTACCTACTGAAAGTATAGAGTGTAAACAAAACATCCCATGGTACAAAAGCTGACTCATCATGAAAACACTTGGTGTGTTTGTGCGCATACGTATACGAATGAATGCATGTATCTATGGGATAGAGTGCAACACTTTCTTTCGGTGTAATGCTCTGATATGCTTGCCAAACTCTTCCATCAGTTTGGAACTTGCTTCTTGTCATGTGTTAAGAGAAGAAGGTGGGCTAAGCTCCATTACTTTGTATCAAACAGCTAAAACACGTCTCTGTGGTGTTTTAACTACCGTGTCCTTGGACAAGGTGGGACTTATCTGAGATGCATTGGGTAATGCAATCAGATTTCGTCTGGAGGCCTTAAATGTGCAAAATTATTGTATCTGCCCACTGCTCGTTTTGTGTGAAATGTGAAAAAGCAGCAGGCACCAACTCACCCTGGCCTTTGTTTCTCTGTCTCGCCGTGTGACAGACGCGACAGTCATATTTATGAAGAAGTGGAATAGGAGAATCACCACGGAGACGGTCGGCTGACGCGCTGTATGAACTTCTCCATGGAGGCCTTGGGCTGCAGAATAGCCCTTCGGCAGGGTACCACTGGGACCTCCTCTGGTCTTCCTATTAAACCGTGCTTTAATCCCCCTTGGTCCATTGGTTTTGCTGAGTACACCACAGAGTCCCACTAGTCGTGCGAATGTTGTCTTGGCTTGGAGTGCCCCAGAACGTAAACGTTGCCAAAGGCACGGTGCCCTTCATTCTGCAGCCCTCTTCGCCGCCGCCACCACCAGCAGAATAGCCTCATCCTGGGTTCTAAATTAACTTCATTTAACATCACGGTCAAAAAGGAAAAGTAGTATGTTCTTGAAATACAGTGCTTTTCAGAACAGAAAATACGGCTTTATTAAGTTTGAAACTGAACTGCATAGTTGATGAATCCTGACAGGAAGAGTTAATGCCCACGATTGCGGATCCCTGGACTCCTGTTCCGACCCATCAATTGGCACTGCTGCCTGGCCCGCGCTTGGCACCGGAGCCCTTCTCTGGCACCCTGGCTGCTGTCTTGGCAGGAGATGAGGGGAGTGCAGTTGGGGAACCTGGGAAGGGGAGCGTGAGGAGGGGAGAAGTGGGCCCGGGGACTCAATCTCCCCGCAGGGGCCGTTCGAGGAGGACTCTGGGGCGGCGGGCGGGCGGGCG